AAAAATTTTCGAGCAAATTTTCAAACAAATGTGCAAAAATAGTTTTAACTTTTAATTTATAAATTATATGTGTTTCTATCCGTTTGTCCGTTCAATGACTGGTAATGGAAAATAATTAATATTTTCATACACTTTAACCCATAGATCAAAATTTAATAGGATACGATGATCAAATTTTAACAGAATATTTTGTTAAAACTATACAGAAAATTAAAATTTGCTATAAAATAAAAAAAAAATTACCAAAATTTAACTTAGGCTCACGTGTTTTGCTTGTACATACAATTATAATACAAAATTAAAATGTTAAAGAATTTTAAATTAAATTATTTTATTTATATTTTTCATCATTTTGTGCATATTTCTAAAGCAACTCCTCCTTCGTAAAATGAATGCTCTAATTGTAATTTGAATTGGATGCTATATTTAAATCTATATAGTTGAATAGTGTATTGAAATAGTATTTACAATTGTATATGATTACAATTATGAATAAAATTGTAAAAGAAAAATAAAAACAAATATTTTTTATTTCCTCTTTTAATTATAAATTAAAAGTTGCATAAATGTAGGCTAGAAATTCCCACTAAGAGAATTATTCTTATTGTTATTTAAGAATAAAATATTTGATCCTTGTATATTTAATTTTATTATATTTATACATATTATGTAGGTGTATATAATATGCAATTCAAAAGATAGTTTTTAATGAATTTTATGTTTTGAATATTCAAATACATGTGTATGTACAATAAAACAAGTGTGTTTGAGTGAATAATTTATGGTCGTGAGTGATAAAATATATTTTGTTTTGTAAATATAGAATATAATTTTTTTTTTTTAATTCTCTTGTATATTTAAATTATTTAAATAAAATATTAGTTTCATTAAATTGAATCCTTTTTAATAATAATAATAATAATAATAAAGAGTGTATTTGAATAAACATTTTAATTTTGTTTTTATACAATTTTTATACTTACAATTTATTTTGAATTGAAAATGAGATGAAAATATTTCATGAGAAAATAAAATGATTTAATAATGAAATTCAGATACATATTATTTTTAATTCCTATATTTAATATATATATATATGTATATGTATGTATGTATATGTACAAATTCCATTAATATTTAAGTACATTTATTATGTAAATGCAAAATAGTTAATAGTGAAAATAAAATGTTGTTTTTAATAATAAATTTTCTTTTCTTTTTTTTTTGTATTTTGGATTTTGTTGGAAAATTAGTGTGTTATGTAAATTTGTATGTATCATATATATGTTTATTATGTAAAAGGATAAAAAAGAGTGTTGCTGCACTCAAATTATTTCTCATTAAAATGTTAATTGTTTGTGCTACCTGGTTTCTGTTTCAGTTTTTATTCAATTTTATTATTAAAACAATTTTTTTCCCTTGTTGCTTTTTAATATTGTATTTTATAAATTTTGTATATACAAAAAAAAAAGTATGTATAGAAAAACAAGAGTAATTACATTAAAAGGGTTCTTTTTCTTGTTGTTCTTCTTTTTTTTATCAACTCAATAGTATGCGTTTTTGTTACCTTTGAATCGTTTATATACCATTATTATCTTTTAAATCTTTTTGAATAATGATTTTCTATAGTTTGTGTTTTACATATGAAAAGCATAAAATGTAGATCAAATTAAATTTTTATATTTAAAAATATAAAAGTAAATTATCCATTTATAATTTTTGTTTTTATAATATTTAAAGTAAAATTAATTTAATTCATAAAAAGTCATATAAGTTTTTCTTTTTGTTTTGTAACTTTGTCAATCATGATAAATATGTAACAAATACAGAGTGTTGCATTTTATTGCAATTTGTATTAATTTTTCTTTTTCTAGGTTTAAGATTTTTTACACAAAAATTATAGAGTAATATTTGCTAATATTTTTAACCCGTTCACAAATCTTGTTCGTAAATTGTTATTCGAATTTTCGTTAATTAAAATATTTTCAACTCGAATAAATTAAGTTGGAATTGGGAAGATTTAAATAATCACGAAAGTAAAATTAAATCCTCGATTATTATTTCTAGTTATGTTTCTTAACTTATGTTGCAAGCTTATGATTTTTTATGATTTTTATTATTGTTAATTATTTTGCCGTTTTAAAGCTCTTCATATGCCCGCTTTAAAAAATATATAAAAGGAGCTTATATTCATATAATAATCCCTTTTAGACTCTTACATAATACAAAGAACAGTTCATTACTTTCCAAATCCCACTCTTTATATTAGCACTATTATTTAATATTTAAACAGTTAAATTTTTCTAAGTGATCACTTGCAATATTTAAATAATTTTACTGGTACAAACAAATGTTCCAAGTGTATTCGGATAAATTTACTAATCCGTTTGTAATGCTTAGAAACGGACAACTGAAATGCTGAGAAATAGACGATTTTCAAGTCTTTTTAGCTATAATTGTGTGTCCTTCTGTTTGTCCGTCCTAGAATCTAGTAATTTGCTGATTTATCCTAGATTCTTTAGAACTTACTAATTTTGATATAATTTAGTGAATAAATTTTATAATTCAAATGATCTCTAATCATTTACATAATTTTTTTTCTTAAATCAAAAGCAAATTCGAAATTTTATAATGCCTGTTTGATAAATTTTCTATACGTCACACGCTGTAGAAAATTTTTGTGGTTTTTCTGTTTATTTTTATTTTCTTGAATATACTAGATATAAAATACACTAAAATTTATTATAATTTTTTTAACATCATCAAAAAAAAAAAAATAGAAAAACACAAAATGATAAAAAATGAAAAGAAAAAATAAGTTGCATACTTTTAGGTTGTCCCCTTTTTCTTTAATATTCATTTTAGTTCGCTAGAAATACGTGTTTAAAATAAAAAATTAGAATAACTGAATAAAGTACAAAGAAAGAAATATAAGTGGAAAGTTCAATGTACATTTGATATACTTATATATATATATAGATAAACACATTTATTATATATAACTGTATATTTGTATAGGTGAATGATATAAAAAGAAAAAAGTATTTATCAAACGATAATCATTAAAATGAGCAGGACGCGTGATAAAGTTGTCAAATGAAGAAAATTTTTTTTTTTTGAAAAGATAATATTATGTTATTTGTATAAAAAGCAGGATCATATAACATAAGAAAATTTTTAAAAGCTTGAATATTAAATAAAAAAAAAGACTAATGTATGAAATGTATAAAATTATTACTATACAAATACTTAGTATTTTATGAGTATATTATGTAGTATATTAAGTATAATATTAATAGGTATTTGAATGAAATATTATATTTATTATGGAAGGTAGTAATGTAAGTATAATATATAAGGAATATAAGTATAATAGTTATGGTTCATAAATTTCGATAACCTCAGAGATTATCGTCTTACATTTCTAATACATTTTAACTATTCTTTTGCCATGAAAGGAAGTTTTATTTGTTTGCAACTAAAATTTTGTAATGTAAGGAGATAAAAATATTTTTGCAAAATTTTAAAAATTATGTAGTATAATATTAAAAATTTAACATTGTGTTATACAAAATAATAATAATTTATATACAATTTATAAACATTAAATATTGGGTAATTAAATGGTATTGTGTAACAAAGTAAAATATTTTAATAATTGTTATATAAAATTTAAGAAGATTTTTATGTTCTAACATTATTTGGGCTCTTATGATTAATTAATATTCGAAAATTAATAAAATCTTAATATATTCAAAGCGATTATATGAAATGTGTATGAAATGAAAATTTCGAACCTTTTTTATAATGTTATTCAATAAATCTCTGTGTGCCATTAATTTAATCGATTATTGTAATGCTTTTTAATTTAAATCACAATCATTACCATAATATGACAAGCTATCACTCAAAATTATTTTGTTGACTTACGAAATATTAAATGGAACAATATCTAAAGATGTTTATCAATTTTGAATTTGTTTTAGAAAAACTTAACAAAAGTTTTTTAAAATATTAAAAAAATTGATTTGTTCACGAAGTAGAATCATAGCTGATATTGCTACCGCACTGATACTGCTAAATCCAATATGTGTTCTACTCCAGAAATGAAATCAATTTACTAAAAATTGATAAAGAAATATTATATAACTTTATGCGGATTGCCACTTTAACAACATCAGAATATAAAATTCTTTTAATATTCTAATTACATTAATCTCATGATTAGAATTGCATCTCAAATTCAATTAATTTTTTTTATATATATATTGTCTCTCTCTATCAATTATTTCAGAAGTGTTCCTAAAGAAATTCAAATTCAATTATCTTTTGAGTTAATTAGAGTTATGTTATGTTATATTCAGATATTCTCAACAAAATGATGTCACGTTATAGTCAACCTCTCTCCTTTTTTGAAATGTGATCTTTTCTTGTAATTATTTATTATTATTGTATAATTTACTTTGATGGTTCTAATAGCAACAATATATACAAATTAAATTTGAAGAACGTTGTACAGATACAGAATGATGATAATATTGAATGATGAATAAACTATCAAACCTTTGACTTCATTTTTAAAAATAATTTTTTTTTTTATAATTTCTTTAAGTATAATTTTATTTATTCACTAATATACTCTTAAATTGAAACATGTTTTTCAGAAAATTTATAATAATATAGCAGCTAGTATATGAAATTTTATAATTTTCATAAATTTTTTTTTACTACATACAAATTTCTTCCTGTATATAGCAAGAGAAGAAAAAAATCATGTTTACCTTTCAATTATATGAAATCAAAAAAACAATTTAATAATATTTTCTCATCTTTTCTACTTAAATTTTTTGTATTTTATTTTATTTGTTTGTTCGATTATTCATTAATAATATACTCTTACATATATATACATACATTTATATACAAATACTATTTATATTTATAAATATTTGATTTTTAATATTTTTCTTTATTTTTTATATTTTTGTTTTTTTTTGCAGTGCTGGAATAGTTGTGATCAAACACTTGGTCCATTCCCATTAAATGTACAATCAGCATCACGACAAGGATCATTGATTATAACTGATATTGCATGGGATCAAGCAATAACAAATGCATCTAAACAATGTTTAGTTACATGGGAGGTCTCCGGAGGCGGATTAATGGGTAATCTATTAACTGATAGTTCTACTGTTGAATTATCATTATGGTCGGATACTGTATATCACGTTCAAGTAACGTGCAAAAATAAAGTAAGTAATTTTCTGAGTTTTATTCTTTATGTTTTTTTTTTTGTTTTCGTTTTGTTTTCCTCTTCGTTTTTGCTGTTTTCTTTAATTTCATTATTTTGTTATATAAATTTAGTTTTTTTTTTTTGCTTTTACTATTATCCCTCACTATTTTATTAGTAAAATCTTGTAAAAATTACAATGAAAATAGAAAAATATATAGAATATTTTTTTTTCATTAGGAAAATTTAGGTACCTACAAGAAAAATTTTCATGTTCTTCGGAATAGAGCATGTTAAAAACATTTGTTTTGTGCATGTATATAATAAATGTACAAGGGGTTCGGAATTTATCTTCCATATAATTGGATATAAAGAAAAAATTAATAGGAAAAGTCATAAGTCATAATTTTGCTTAAATGACAAATATTAATTTAAAAAACTTATTCTAAATTTCTCCTGTAAGCGAAAAACATTTTGAATAATCACAAAATATTTGTGTACTTTTATTAAAATATTGTTAATGCCATTTAATATCACTTACGTTATTACCGTGGAAAGCCAATACTGAAAGAGAATTTTAATATCTAATACCTTCCACAAGCATTTGAACTTATAATTAAATTATTTACCAATTTTCCTAAAATTGAAACATAAATTCTTTGTAGCTAAAATTTATTTAAAAAATCTCTACTATATATAAGACATTATAGAATTAGTACTAGAATAATTTGAAAAAACGAAAAAATTTCATATATATATTTTTTATATTAAATATAAGAAAAATATATTCTAAATATTTTCCATATATTTCACTTAATTTTTCAGTTGTTGTTCAATAAAATTAATTTTTTTATATTTTTCTCCTTAATAAAAGAATCGTAAAGTACAATAATATATATATGTAAGTTCCAAAAGGTGAATATTTCGTATATAACCTATATAATTTTACTTATAGTATATTCATACATTTCAAAGTACACGTATGAACGTGTACTTGACATACAACATAGTATTACAAGTAAATCTAACATATACATATACAAGTATGCATTTTTGTTTTAAAAGCTTTTAAGAACCCTAATGAAAAATTAATGAAGAAAAAAAAGAAGGAGTACAGATTAGAAAAAGTAAAAAGAATAAATGAGAGGGAACAATTAGTTAAGTTTTGGGTTATTCTGTACCTCCGTACATTTGTACAGTGTAGAAAAAAATCTGTTATAAATAAGTTGTTTCGAAGTTTTTTTTCTCATTTTTACCTTTATTATAAAATTGTAATTGAAAATAAAAAAAGGGAAAAACTGCTTAAAATAAAATTTGCCTAAGATTCTTAATAATTTAAATTCTTTATTTAGAAACCTGATATTTAATAATGTTAATCTCAGTTATATATAAAGTATTGTTTTTTATTAGGATAGTCTGTTTTAGTACAAAATTCAGAAATTGCATATTTTCAGGCGGACATATTTTCCAATTATTTATTATGAAGTAATGAAACAAAAAAAGTAAGATTAAGCAAATTGGATTTATTTTAGAAATTAGTACGTTTCTATTGAATGAATCATTAGATCTATAGAGGTTAGACGAGAAACAGTTAAGAGAAAATGATTCTCACATTCTTCAGTGCTTATACATATAACTTACGTATATGATGCACAATTTTCGATTTTCTCATAATCCTATAATAAACTTTAAACACCATGTACACACCACCATATTCCTAAATAATAATAAGTAACTAAAGATACACAATATTATAAATGAATTTAGCTGATTTAAAACTATATTATGTTGAAGAGAAGTAAAATAAGGTTATATTAGCATCAGTTTCTCTTTTTCTTTCATCGTACAATAACATATGCTATAAATGTTTGTAATAATGTGTATTTAAACTTATAATAATGTAATATAAGTATTACAGTATATATTGCACTCAATAATTAAAAAAAAAAATGTAATAAACTCTTTTACTCAATAACATCTACCTCATAATTTATATGGTCATCAGAAGTGTGAAAGTAACACTAATTGGTTAATCACAATTATTTTTTCTATTACATTTTTATATTGTTGCAACATATACATACATGTATATACCATTACTAGAGTTTTTGTTGCAATTGTTGGTCATAGTCAAGTTTATTATAAGAAGAATGCACTTGCAACACAATAAAGTAAACTATTTATATTCTCATACATATTTTGTAATATTGTATAACAGATACGTAACGTATATACTATATATATATAAATATATTTAACATGTACTTAAGTTTGTAAATGGTATGAACTTCAGAAATGCTAAAAATAATTTTATTTTTTCATTTTATAAATACAATATGTCTGTATACATAAAATGTTAGAGTAATTTTATAAAAAAAATCTTAATATTTTTACTATATAGTAATAATTGTATTTTAAAGAATGAGTACACGAGTATGTTCAATGTACGAAGTAATATTAATGCATTTATAAAAAAATTTTTAGAAAATTCTTGAATTGAAAATGTATAAAAAAATTAAGCAACATAAAAAATTCATTAATTACAATTAAATTACAATTATTTTTTGTTACCTTGAGTAAAAATAACTTGAGATATTTTATGTGTTTTCTATTCTCTTCTCAAAATAACTTAATCTTTTCGAGTCTGAACAATAATGAAATTATAGAAAGAGTAAAATGTAAAATTAAATGCAATGGAATATGTAGCGCATTTCATAAACTTATAAATAATATAACATTTACATGAATGTGCAACACCAAATGAATAGCAAATCCAATTAAAATCAACGAAAGCAATTTGATGAATACTCTATTTTCATCAGATCTTTACATAATTCATGCAATGTGTATTAAATTCACTTTCATTATTAAATTAGTGAACTGAAATTTTACCAGTTTTATAATAAAAATTTAAATAAATTAATTTAATGAAGAAAATTTTACAATTTTAATTGAAATTTTTTCTCGTTAGACTTTTGTTATTGTAATTTTCTAAATATTTTAAATAATTCGCATTATTTAATAGGAGTTTGTAAATTATTTAATAGGAGTGTTGAATTTGGTAACATGGCGTCTTTAATCCCTGATCAAATGAGAAACTGGACCTGACATAGTATAACAAAAAATTATGCAATTATTTTATAATAGCAATTTTTTATTTTCATATTTGAATTTTTAGATTTAGTTGAATTAGTTTATTGTAATTTTTATGACTCTATTATAATATGGTTTAAGTATCATCATTATTATTCTAATTATTTTTATAGTATTATAATACGAGTAATATTAAATTTATTCTAATTTTTCCTGTTTTCTCTTTTATTAAATACTAAAATATTATAAAGAAAGTAATTAAATAAATTTAATCAAATTATTTATTAATAAAAAATTCCCTTTTTTTTTAAATATTTCAAAATTATAGGAAACTGGTGGCATGAGAAGATCATATAAATTAATTGTTGATACTAGAAAATTAAGTGGTAATGGTATATCATCAACAGTACAACCAATTGATATTGAACCAAGTATAAAATCATCATCAATACCAGAAGTATATTCAACAGAAACATTAGATTCTGATTCAGAATCATCACGTATGAAAATATTAAAAGATTCATCCAAAGATTTTATTAGTAATCATGAATTAAATAGTAATAGTAACAGTAATAGTAATAGCAATAATAATAAATTATTTAATATACAAAAACAACAAGAAGAACAACAAAGAGAATTTGAATTAGAGCAACAACAACAGCAACAGAAACAAAAACAAAAACAACAACAAGAAAATAAACAACAAGAACAACAACAATTACAAGAATTAAATAATTATCCAAATGATATTGAAAAAATAATACCAATATCACATACAACAACAATATTACATAGTAAATTATCAGATACATCATCATTATCATCAACACTTGATTATTCATCAGAGATATTATCACGTAGTATATTATTTACAATGTTGGGTTCAATATCATTATTTTTAGGTATTATAATTGCATTCATATTTATTAGAAATCGACGAGATACAATTACAAATGATAAACAAAATTTAATAAATAATGAAATTTTACCTGATAGTAGAACGCTGCACGTTTAAATGTATGTATATTCTCTAATATTTTTTTTTTATGTAAATTATCGTATTACAAATATATATGTATATATATATATATATATATATATACATATATTAATATATTTAATTAAAAATTGCGAAAAAAAAACCAATTAAAAAGGATAAAAATGATAATTATTTAATTTCACTGTTTTTTGTTTTCTATTTCAAAATTTCGGGAATAAAATATAGCGTTCTAAAAATTATTAGGATCTACATAATATTATATATTATAATATATACATATATTTATATATATATAGGGTAATAATTAATTATTTTCTAAAATATAAATATTTAAATATTAAATAAAATTTAAAATATCTTTATATGTACGCATACATTCATATACAAAATAATATTTAATGTAATTTAATTATTTTTCATTATAATTGAATATTATATAAAAAATATGCTATTTTAATAATCGATAACAGATTATGTAAATGTATATATATATATATATATATATATATATATAAATTTACATATTATATACCAATAAATTAAGCTACTTCATCTTTTTTTCTATTATTACATTGTATAATAATAATAATTATTAAAAATATAAAATGTATATGAATAATGTAAAATATGTATGTGTGTAGGCATATAATATTGCTAATGTAATTATTATAATAATGTAATTTATATGATAGATATTTATAAAAAAATTGAAAAAAAAAAATGCAAAAAACAATTAAAAGAATTTAAAAAACCATAATTTTTAGAAAACAAAGTATAAAAAAAAAAAATGAATAAAAAATAATTTATGAAAAATTACAAAAAAATAATTAATTCAATCATTATTATATCATAATTAAAATATTGAGACAAAAAACAAAGAGAACAAAATTTAAAAATTTATTTAAAATGGCTTTGAAATTGAAGAATGTTAATTTTTTTTTCTAGGAATTATTTATTCTGAAATGCGTTTTGTAAAAATATTTAGAAAAATATTTAGAAAAATTATTATATTTCTTGGGTATTACAATATTAATTGAAAAAATTTAATAGAAAAATGAGATTTTTAATGTATAAATTGAAATTTGAGTAAATATAAGTTTTTCGGTCTGAAAATCGGAAAAATTCAATTCTAATTCAAATTTTATTAAAGCAAGTATCAAATAATATTACCGAATCCAATAAATTATACAATAGAAATGAGTTTAAGTAAATAAATTTTCAACAACAATATTTTATTTTAATAAAAAATTTTTTTTTTTGATTAAATTAAAATATTTCTTTAAAATAAAAGACGCCACAAAAAAATAAATATTTCTTAAAAAAAAGAAAGATATTCTTCAATTTTATACCTCATAGGTGTATATAGCAATATCAATTTGTAATAATTAAAAAAAAAGTAAAGAAAAATAAATTGAATTTATAAAATGAAAAATTTATAAAGAAAATAAAAAAAATTACAAAACAATTTTTTTTATGTAAATAATGTAAATAAAATTATAATAATATTAAATCAAAAATAATTGAGAACAAAAAAATTAAAATAGTAATCTTAAGTATAACACAAACAGAAAAAAAAATGTATTAATATTTATTAAAATCAATTCAAAAATTAAATAAGTTAAACAAAAAATATTAATAATAATAATAATTAGTATTAAATAAAACTTTGAGCAGGAAAATTCAAAATTTTGTAAAATTAAATAAAAATCAAAAAAAAAAACAATCTAGCTACTGAAATTATTCAATTAAAAAAAAAAATTTTATTTTAAAAAGGCAAATGGAAAATAATTACAAATAATTACAATTTAATTTTCTATATTATAAATTATAATTTTTAATATTTTTTGTTTTTAAAAAAAATTCTTCAAATATTTTATTAATTTTTTTGTTTATTTAATTTAAAATTTAATGTGAAAAACCGAACAAAGATAATTTTATTTGAATTACGGTATAATATTATACCGTAATTACGGTATAATATTAATATAACTAAATAAAATTTTGTAAATAATAAAAAATAAAAATTTAGTAAACGCACAAAATTATGAATTTTCTTTTTTTTAATTAAAAAAAAAATTTAAAATATAGAAAAGTTAATTTATGTATTACATTTTTCTATATTCCAGTAAATTTTGTATGTTATGTTTTATTAAATAATTAATTTTTATAATTTAATTTTACTATTAATAATGATATTTAATTAAATTTACCAATGAACAGAAATTGTTATAATATTGTCATGATAATTAACAGAATTTTTTCATAAGAGTTGACAGTAAATTCAAAAATTATTATTTTTTATCATTAAATTTATCAATTTATATATTTGTATTGTTTAATAATTAATTGAATTTTCTCTAAAAAAAATTGACGTATCGTAAATACTTAACTACATAATACAAGATTTATAAATTCTTAGAGATTTTTACTATTTACTCTTTAATTTACTATTTTTACTATTTACAATATTTAAGCGGAGTTTTTTACAATTTCCATAATATTGCATTTTATTATGAGCGACATTCAGCTGTAAAAATGTTAAATAATTTTTGAATTTACTCTTTCTCTTTCTCTCCATCTATTCTTTTATATTTTAATAAATTAATATAATAGCTATATATTTTTTTAAAAATAATTTAAATATCTCTTAAACAAATTTTATTATGTTGAGTAATTTTTATATACAATATTTTCCTCCAAATTATTTTCAATGTTAATACATATTATTATAATATTTATAATAGATGAAAAAAAAAGGAAAATTAAAATTATATTTTTTTTTCATGTATAATAATTATGTATAAACAAAAAAAAAAATAAAATAAAATCCTTAAAATCACTAATAACGCATATTAATTATTATCAATATTTTATTTAGTATATATATTATAAATATACATATAATATGTATATGTATATACTTTAATATTAATATAGAAATTAAAATAAGCTAATATTTAAAATTAAGGCTATCAAAATAAATTGTTAATTAAAAATAATTATTTATTGGTATTAAAAAAAAATAACAAAAAAAAAAAATGAGAAAAAAATAATTTTTTTTTTATATTCAATAATTTTATTTTTTATCTAGTCCATCGAAATATTAATATAATTGAGAAAAAAAAAAAAGAATAATGATCAGATAAAATTGAAAACGAAAAAATTAAACAAAAAAAAAAAAATAATAATATTTTTTAAACAAACGAATATCTACAAAATAATTTCATAAAATTGTTAATTACTCTTTGTTTATTTTAAATATTTTATAAATTTTAATAGCACTTCATGTAAAATACTTTTTAAACTCTTAAACTTATTTTTCCTATTTAATCTACATATTTCAATTTTAAAATAATTTTTTATAAAAACAATAAATTTTTGCATTGAAAACAATATTGAATATTTTGTAAAAATTGTAATTTAAAGTCAAAAGAACACCATTGTGAGGTGTACATGTCATTTCCTTGAATTATAAGAATTGAAATTATTTAAAATATTTTATATTTGATTAATGAGCTCGTAATGGTCTCAGTTTCAAAGAAAACTAAAAGAAATGTGCTTGCTTTGTCATGCAGTTTAGTGTTTTAAGATTTTCTTAAATAATACTGGGCTTCTTGTACAGCCCTTCTTGCATGTTTCTTCAAGAGAGAATGTGAAAAGCTGTAATTTCTATATTTACCGACCGTATTGTGTAAACAATAGGTAGGTTATGTGATGGCAACAAATTTTGCATATCGAGTTTTCGGTGGGAACGTACTTCTCCATAGTAGGGAAGTGTAAATAAACTATTTTTAGCAACCTGTCGGTCTGTCGGTCTGTCGGTCTGTCGGTCTGTGTGTGCACGCGTGTATCTCAAGATCGGCTGAACCGATTTTGATGAAATTTTATATGTAAGTTTGTTTCCACCATGGCACGGATCGATCAACTTTTGGGATATATCAGGCCTCGGGAACTGCACTTTTTAGCGGGCCTGTTTTACATTTTTGACCATTTTAAAGAAAGTATTCAACCGATTTACTTGAAATTTTATATATAAGCTCAGCTCGACCGTCCGCAAAAATTTGTATGTTTTGGAGGAAATCAGGCATCGGCAACTAGACGTTTACTACGGGCCAAATATACATTTTTGTGTATATAAAGAGAAATAATCAACCGATTTCATTGAAATTTAATATATGAACTCCTCGTATTAAAACAACGAACATATAAATTTTTTGAAAAGATCAGGGCTCGAAAACTGATTTGCGGGCCGATTTTACATTTTTCACCATTTTGAAGAAAGTATTCAACCGATTTACTTGAAATTTCATATATAAGCTTTACTCGAACATACGCAAAAATTCCTAACTTTTGGAAGAAATCAGGCATCAGCAACTGGGCGTTTACTACGGGCCAAATATACATTTTTATGTATATAAAGAGAAATAATCAACCGATTTCATTGAAATTTAATGTATGAATTCCCCGTATTAAAACAATGAACATGTAAATTTTTTGCAAAGATCAGGCATCGGTAACTAGACGTTTACTACGGGCCAAACATACACTTTTGTGTATATAAAGAGAAATAATCAACCGATTTCATTGAAATTTAATATATGAATTCCTCATATTAAAGCAATGAACATATTACTTTTTTGGAAAGATCAGGGCTCGAGAACTGATTTGCGGGCCGATTTTACATTTTTCACCATATCCACAGAACAAATTGATGAAATTTCTTGAAATTTGATATTTGAGTTCTGGTTGTTACCGAAACTAACTGGCGAGCATTTCAGGGAATTCGGGTAGCACAAAGCGAAACTCTACTAAGAGCCAAATTTACATTTTTCTAAGTATGTTAACTATAAGCTTACTAATGTCCCAAAAATTTGAAAGAAGTATTTAACAGACATTTTTATAATATTCTGTAACACTCTCATTTAACTAGACAATACACAATGCGGTCGGTTATGTGCTGACCACATCAGATTTTTTTAATATAATATAAGAGTATTCCGCCTTAAAATACTTTT